TTTTTCTTTTTTTTTCTTGTTGTTTATACGAGACAGACTACTAGAAAAGCAAGAAACTTGACTACAAAAAAAAAAACCGAATATATTAAACATGCAAAAATTAAATTATTATCTCAATTTTATTTTTCATGGTTTACTGTTGTTTATATAACGACAAAAGTTCAGTTTTATTAAATTCGATTTTTTGTTTCTCGTGATGATCTAATTCATTTGTATTTAAATGAAACTTAAAAATTTAATGTATGTTTCATTCCAATACTAAGAAAGTTTTGTATAATAAAAAACAAAAAAAAAACAAAAGTACAAAGAAAAAGAAAAGTTGAAGAAAAATATTATAAAATGAGAGAGGGAGAAAGATTTTTGTAACTTCTTATTATTTAATATGTTCATACACTTTTAAGAAAATAATTGGTTTGATTTAAATCTTGTTTTTATTATCTGTTGTCGTTTAGAACTAAGAAAAATATTCTAAACAATTTTACTTGTACATGTGTACGATATTTTGTTAGAGTTATCAGACCTCAAATTGCTTTATTAAAATTACTATTTAAGGTAAAAACAAGAAAATATGAATCATTTTATAGGCAAACCAGTAATATTAAATAGTATTTATATTAGTTATTGATGACATATGATTATTATAGAATAAGTCATGGTTAAACTTTTAGTGTATATTTATAATGATAATAATATATATTTAATCTTTTGAAAAGATCGACATTAAAAAATTATATAACATTCGAACGTGATTCGCTTTAGTATTTTCATCTTATAATCATTTGTAAGCATTAACATAAGAAAGAAATTTTGCTATGTAAATTTGTTGATTAACATTTATTTTCGTCATATTTAAATGAAGCTTTTCTGTTTTTTGTCAAATCTTGAATAAGATTTAATCGAGTTTTTTTGTTCATCAATCGTTCATTTTACTTTGCATGACTCACAGCCATTGAAATGAAAAGAATAAAAATGATTAATGTAATAATAAATTAATGAATAATTAAATCTTTAGATACTGGTTAATGCAAATATTAAATTTCATAAGAAAATACAAGAAATCAACATGAATCATGTAGTCGATTATTAAAAATACTATCTAAGAATATAAGCTTAGTTGTAGAAACAATATATTTGAAAAGAAAAAACTTGTGTTTTATAAGATTGAACATAAAGGTATGTTGACTACTGTTACAATAATTTTTAAAAACTGAAGGATTCAAACTGATAAACAGCGCTTATTATTCATTCAATTGTGTTTTATTTCAAGAACAGAAAAAAAGTAAAAGTAATTAAAACTAAAAAAAACTGATATTAATTGTTTAAAAACATTTTCGATGTACAATCGATGGACCTGATTCATCATATTCATGTTTTGAAATCCACATAGTTTCAAATGTTGATAATGAACTAAGAATTGAACCACCAACCCATACTGTATATTTTCTTTCAGATGGAACCATAATTTTCACTTTCATAGTTGTTGGTGCTAATATTTTAATTTCTTTTCCCATTCGATCAGCAATACCTGGATACATAGTTGTACCTTTAAGTAATAAATCGAACAGAATATGATCAATTCTTACTTGAGAATATCAAATTTACCTCCAGATAAAACTATATTTGCATATAATTCTTTTCGTAAATCAATATCACATTTCATAATTGTATTATAAACCATTTGAGCAATACCATCTTCTTCACGACCAATCATAGATGGTTTAAAAAATGCTTCAGGACATCGAAATCGTTCGTTACCAATAGTTATTATTTGACCATCAGGTAATTCATAATTCGTTTCAATACTATTCGACATCATAGAAGTTATTAATTCTTGTTCGAAATTTGATGCAACATAACATAATTTTTCTTTTATGTCACGAACAATTTCACGTTCAGATGTTGTTGTAAATGCATAGCCACGTTCACTTAATAATCGAACCATCCATTCAGTTAGATCTCGTCCAGCTAAATCTAGACGACTAATTGCATGAGGTAAAGCATAACCTTGTAATAGAATATTTTTCTTTCAATTGAAGAATAACAATAATAAATATTTACCTTCAAAAATCGGTACTGTATGAGAAACACCATCTCCACTATCAAGAACAAGGCCTATGGTTCTACCACTTGCATAAAGTGAAAGAACAGCTTGAATAGCTACATACATAGCTAAATATAAAAACAAAGGAATCGACTATTGATTAAAAAAGATGCAAGACAACATGTATACCTGGTGTATTAAATTGTTCGAAAAGAATTTGTGTCATTTTTTCACGATTAGCTTTTGGATTCAATGGTGCTTCTGTTATTAAAACTGAATGTTCTTCAGGTACAATACGTAATTCATTATAAAATATATGATGCCAAATTTTTTCCATATCATCCCAATTTTTAACAATTCCATGCTCAATAGGATAATGAATTGTTAAAATACCTTTTTTTGATAATGCTTCATCACCGACATATGATTCTTTCTGATCTATGCCAATCATAATCGTATTATAACGTGACCGGCCAACTACAGCTGAAAAGACTGTACGTGGTGCATCTTCGCCACTAAAACCTGCTTTGACCATACCAGAACCATTATCAATAACAATTGGATTTAATTGATCGATTGTATTGAAAAACATTTTAGTTGAAATTATTTTAAAAACGAAACTATAATAATATCAATTTGAATATTAGTTTTTCTTTGCATATAGCCTAGTAAAATGATTAGTATCTAACCTTTTGCGGTATTCAATATATTCTTACCTATCTATTCTATGGATTGACTCATTGAAATACGAATTGTATCATTCTGCTTTTTGATAACAGGTAAAAACAGATATTAAAGAATACCAAAAAAGGAAAGTGTTTTTTTGTTATACATTCAAGGTTGCATTGATGCCACAGATGATGAATTAATTTATTTAGTTTTTTTTTCTTTCTTGTGTTAATATTGAATATATAATGTAGAAAATATTTTGATTCATAATCATAATATTCAATTAAAACAAAATGGGTCAGAAAAAAAGTCGATATTCAACAGCACCTTCACTTGAAGAAGGTGTTATTCGTCGCATAATAAGAGCAACATCATTTCTACCTGATGAAATACAATATTTTTATTATGATTTTCTTAAATATACGCCAACTGGTTATTTAACATTAGGTGATTTTGAAAAATTTTATCAAACTTTATTTCGTAATGGTGCATCAGAAAAATTTGCTAAATATGCTTTTAATGCCTATGATACAAATCATGATGATATTGTTGATTTTGAAGAATTTATTAAAGGTTTATATTATACAACTAAAGCATCACCAAATGAAAAAATTCGATGGGCATTTGATTTATGTGATCAAGGTAATTATAAAATATGATTTGTAAACAATAATTTTCATGACAAAATTTTGCTTCAAGTTTAATATAAATAAAAATTAAATGATTGATTCGTAAGAATAAAAAAAAAATAATTAAGACGTACTTCATTAAATAAAGTTCCCAAAAGAAATAATAAAATATAAGATTAACTTGTTCATCGATTAATAGTAAATTGAATACGTCATTGATAATATTATCAAATAGAATTAAGATATTCATTTCGCTTGAGTTAACAAGTTTTATTTTTTTGCGAACATGACAAAAGTTTGTTACGAAGTTCAAATTAGATCATAAACGAAACCCTTAGGAATATATCTCATTTAGAATATGGCAATAAGAATCTAGTTAATAGATTTTGAACAATATTCTTAGAGAATTAAATATTCTTTAGAATAAATAGCTTGTAGATAATGCATATTAAAGGAAAATCATTGATCAATATAATTGAATTATAATACAGATCGATGCTTATTTTATAAAGAATTGTATGTCTTTTTCATTCATTATCAATCATCGGAACATTTTATAGTTTCTATTCATCAACTCTTAAACAATCATTAATATTTTTCTCTTGTTTTATTATGATTATTCGTAAAATTTGTTGATTTTTTTTTCTCAAAACTATCAACTTTCTAATCAAAATTTAACATATAGAATGTTTCAAAAGTAACCTGGAAGTCTTTGATTGAAAACAACATAGAATCGAGAGTTACAGTTTTTATCATTCGAAAGAACCTTTATTACTGCATAATTCCTTGCATTATTCAAAAATGTTGTTTGATAACTGAATAGTGAATCAATAGGGCTTCAAGAAAATACAAATATGACTATGAATGATAATACAGAAGTTTAATTCGAAGCCATGCGCTCGATCTGTATACACTCGAAAAATTTTTATGGTGATCTGTTTAAAAATTATAGATGCAACACTAGACAATGAACATATGAATATGGATCGTAAGTACATGAATCTAACTTACTTCTTACAATTAAACTTCTGTATTAACTTCATAGAACTATTAAGAAGCTCACTGACTGATACAACGATATTGTTTAATGATAAATATAATCTTGCAATGATACGTATATTCGATGAAAGTCTACAAATCTCTATCTTTTATTATTTGCAATCAAAAACTGTCGAATGACTTATGAACCATCTTATAGATTTTCATAATTTGATTTTGTTTTCAGACGGTGATCATCAACTTGATATAATCGAACTTGAAAATATAATTCAAGCATTGTACGAATTATCTGATGCTGATATGGCACGAATTGAAACATATGATGAGGCGATAGTACGAGTTAAACAATTACTTTTAACAAATCAAGATAATAATAAAAATGATGAACTTCTTGATTCAATAACAAAAAGTGAATTTATTGATATTGTTCAAAGTGATTCGACAATTATGAAATTAATTGATTGTCGACCGAATTTCAATAAACGTACAAGTAAATTTGAAAATTCAACACATTTATTTAAGAAACAATTGAAATTCAAATCTTCAAGAGGTAAATCATATTCAGATTCAACATTAGCAGCAAAAAAACGATATGACTAAATAATGATTAAAATAAAGACATTGTTTTCTTTTTCTTTTTCTTTTTCTTTTCTGTTTGATTTTTAAAACATGGTTAATAAAGCAAAAACGCCATAAAATAAAGCACATGGATATGCAACAAGTAATTGTTGTCCAATCATAGCTAATGATGCAGTAAAAAGTTTTGATGCTGATATTGAACACCAAATAATAAATATTATTGCAATTATCATATTAATAAAACCATTCAATTTCAATAAAAATGATGAAAATGATAGAATAACCATTGGTAAAAGACAATAACCAAGTACACTTGTTACAAATAAACCAGAACATGGTTTATCTGGTGATGCCATTAAATTTAATAAACCATACATACCAACATTACCTAATGTAACAATACCATAAACATAGCCAAAATGTATTTTACCTAATAATAAAAGACTACATGCAAATGCAAGACAAAATACAAGTGGACCAGCAAGATCAACATCATCAAGAATTGATAAATCTGGTGTTGTAAATGGATTTAAAACGGATTTTGTTTTTTTAAATATATGATCAAAATTAATACCTAATTCTTCTAATAATGGTGGTTCATCATATACATCATCATTTTGATTTGAAGTAGCTGTTGATCGCATATAATCATTTGGACAATAAAAGTGATGATTATTTACTTGAGAATTAAAATTATATGGTGATGGTATAAAATTATCATTTGAATATTGAGCATATGGCTGAGAAAGAGAATAATTTTGTTGTTGAAAATCATAAGATATCGATCCTGTATATTGTTGATTACATGTAGAGGGAGAAAAAAAATCTTGAGAATTCCACTGCATATCTAGAATGGTAAGGAAAATACTATCGAGACTATTCCAAAATTATTATATCTGCCAAAAAAAGAACAATCGTCTAGATCACATGTATGTCGCACAAGTATTTTTCAGTTCAACAAATATGTATACCTTTCATTGGGCGTTGATTGTTTGTTTTGAATAAACTCTTAGCATAGACATATGCCTTTGTTTGTGTCAGAACTATTGAAAGAAGGGAAAATACTCATATCTTTCAGCTACCTTACGATATCAAGGACTGTCTAGCGGCGAATACAATGGCCTGATATATTTCCTACAACTATGACTAGTTGTAGTTCTGGACAGAAAGTCAATTTGACGCATAAGTGTTGCGCTCAACTGCTTGAACTCCGCATGCTATCAGATGAGTGATATGAGACAAATAGCCGTTTGTGATTTGTCCAAGTCTATTCTATGGCTGGTTGTATTGAGATTTAAAGATAGTATCTTCTGAACACGTGTTAAACAACCTAAGCATTCATTCATAACAGCTCGATAACGAACCATTTTGCTCATACATTGAAACATTTTTATATATAAAATTCCGACAAATGAAATTTATATTCGTGTCATCATGACATATATTCGCACGTTGCTGAACGGCATTCTGTTTAATGCCTATTCATATATATATATAGCCTGTATGACTAGTTTAGAACAATAATTAAGACTACATTATTTGAATAGAACTTCAAACGTTCCAATATTATATTTTTGTGATATAGAAATCTTCTTTTTTTATGATATTGTTCTTCAAAAGAAAAAAAATGCTTGATACAATAATGGATAGCTTCGGAAACATATTGCTTCGCAGTTTCCGAATGATGTTTGACTGATATCGAGGTTTTATGAAAAAGCAAGGATGCGAAAAAAAAAACAGCATAACAAATCAAAAACAAAACGAAGAACAATTGAGCCTATTTCTTTGATGCGTTCAAGCCACCTCCAGTATTTGCTTTAAAATAAATAATATCACCATCCTCAACAATATAATTTTTTCCTTGTTGTCGATATTTTCCTTCAGCCTAAAAATAATTTAAATATAAATTTTATATGATTAATCAAATTTGTTGTTTTGTTATTGTTTTTATTCTTCTACATACTTTAACAGCATTTTCATTTCCAAATTCTTTAAAATCATCATATTTCATAACTTCAGCCATAATAAAACCTTTTTCAAAATCTGTATGAATACGTCCAGCAGCATGTGGAGCTTTTGTTCCAACTTGTATTGTCCATGCTTTAACTTCATCTTTTCCACATGTAAAAAAATAACATAATTGTAATGCTCGATAACCAGCAAGAATAATTTTTTCCAAAGAACTAAATTAGTTTCGCATAAGATATAACAAAAACAAAAATGAATTCAGTCAAAAAAAAACTAATTTACCTTGGTGCTCCTGTTTCTTTAATAATTTTTTCACTTTCATCATGTGGTAAATCAACCAAACGATATTCATAATTAGCACTAAACGGTATTACAGTCGCACCTGGATCATGTTCGTCAATCCATTGTTTAACTTTACCTAACCATTTATTTTTTTTCTTAATATAATCTTCTTCTGACATATTTAATAAATAAACCATTGGTTTTGATGTATTAAATAAATGTTTATTAAGTACTTCAATTTCTTTTTCATTCCAATCATTGAAACGAAGACTACCTCTTTCTTCATTTAACAGATGTAATACTTTATTTATTGTTTCCTATTTAAAGAAAAAATCAAGAATTTAAGTTATGAAATATGAATTTAAAAATAAAAACAAAATTTCAATCTTACATGATCAAGTTTTAATGTTTTATCATTTCCACGTACGACCTTTTTTTCTAAATCTTCACCAATCTTTTTAGCCATTTCAAGATCCTTTAATCTAAATTAAAACACAACTATAAAAGTGTTTTTTGTTTTGTATGAAACACGATTTAAATGCAATGTTGAAGTCAAAGGGTAAAAATTTGGACCTGTTTCTCCTCTCAGACCGTGACAAATGCCTTACAAGAAAACCTTTTCATGTGTTCTCTTTCGATTTCAGCAACTTGTTGTCTATTGACATTTGATTAAGCCATCAAATTTTTAATGTCTATTTTCTAGAAATTATAAACATTTGAAAAACTTCTATTTTGGTATTTTGAATCTCAAATTTTGCCCATATAGGGGACTCAACTAGATTAGCTTCCTTAGAAACATTTATGTAGTATACAAGAATCACTGACAAGGGTCTACATCTTGAAAACCTCATATCTCAAAGAGACGTTAATCAAAGCTTCTGTTTTTTTGTTTTATGAACGCTAGTTGAATTTAGCTCGCTATATAAAGAAAATGTCAGGTTAAAACTGGAAAATACGAGTTTTCCTAAAATCTAGAGCCTCTAGAAAATAAACGAATTAAAAATTCGATATCTCAGTCAAAACTCAACAGAGACTAAAATTCTTTTAGAGTTTTTACTAGGACACTATGTATTATCTATAGGAAAACGAAAAAGAATATTGGATGAAATTCTCTCCATAGTAACGTCTTTCCTCTTGATCACAGACCGTGACAGACATCATTAATATACGATCGATAATAGTCTATCAATAATGTCCCGTTATAATTTATGAACTACTTCCCTATTGCATGTCTCTTGGAGGATTAAGTGAAAGAGTGGTGAAGAAATGTGTTCCAAAATAATCTTCTTGTGATTGGCAACGATAGGTATATCGTGTTTCACATTTCAATCTTACAGGGATTGTAATAACAATTGTCTTTTCTTGTTCTCTTTTAAATTTACTAACCTTAATTCATCATGAATGATTTCTATATCACGTATTGGATCAACATTTCCTTCGACATGAGCTATATCAACTTCATCAAAAAGTCGCACCATATGAAATATGCCATCACATGCTTTTATATGTGAAAGAAATGCATTACCAAGACCTAAGATAAACATTATATTTTAATCGAATAATTGAAAATTATTTCATACCTTGACCTTCACTTGCACCTTTGACAAGACCAGCAATATCAACTACCTAAATTTAATTGAGATTTAAAATAATAAAAAAATAGACTAATGCTATTCTTTTTCTTTACATTGAGATATGCCGGTTGTTTACTAAGAAAAAAAAACGAAAAAAATATAATTAATTGAAGAAGTTTATATAGGAAATACCTTAATGGTTCATAATGTTGACATAGAAAATCAAAACGTGAATCCGGTACAGGTACTCGACCTAAAAAAAATGTTGTATAATTGATAACCAAAGTTAGCCATTTTTCTATTACTTTCATTTGGATTGATCGTACAAAAAGGAAAATTTTCAGCAGGTACACTCGATTTGGTAAGAATATTAAAAAAAGTTGATTTTCTGAAAAAAAGAACAATTGAAATAAATAAATATTATTGTCATAGAAAATTTTAATTGATATTAACCCTGCATTTGGTAAACCAACAATACCCATTTTAAGGTTAGTACCAACTCGACCAATCAATGGTTTTGGTTTAGCTTCTTCTTTCTTTTTTGGTGGCATATTTTCTACCTATGTTCTTATCTAAAAATAATAGAAAAATAAGTTATATAAAACACTTAGATGTTAAGCACAATTAAGCAAGTGATGGCATTGATTAACATGAAGAAGTGTTCTTGTGTTTAGTAATATTCACATATGGTTTTAGTAAGAAATATTGTTCAAAGTATTCTTTTTTTTATTGGACAGGTTTTTGCTCTCAAGGTGACTTTAGAGAATATTCAAAAGCTGAACAAAATTTTTTTACTTGTAAACTAATCAAACCACATTATTCTTTTTGTTTGTTGTCAATCAATAATAATAATGTATCTGTTGTGGTCAAAATTAAAATTCAGTCAAATTTAAAATTTGCCTAGTCAAAATTGAAATTTTAATTTCGTCTAGGCAAAATTAAAATTCTAATTTTGTCCAATATGATCTCAGTCAAAATTAAAATTTGAATTTTGACCAGACAAAATTAAAATATTTCTGATGTACATAAAACGATAAAACTTTGATAACCAAGGATAACAAATAGTGGTGTAAGCAGGATTTTTGTATATGTTGGATCTCAGCTGCAACATGTAGCAAAAATTCAAAACGTTATAATTCCTGAGAGGATGCGTATTTTTAGATCAAATTCGATGTAGCTAGGGGAATCGCAAGGTCGAAAACATTGGGACAATTCACGAATTTTTCGAAATTTTTCAAGTATTATTGAAACCTTCCAGCAGCTACCGGGACTTATTTTTTTGGAGATTATTCGGACTTTTCAATAAATCGTTAAGCATTTTGGGATAAATCCCACGCTATTCCTTAATACATACAAGGTGAGAGTGAGAGTGTAGGATGCAGGGGAAGGTCTGAGTGTGGATGAGGGCACAGGTTTGAGTGTGGGTATGCTGAGATATTATCATAATTAATAAAAGCCATAGAGGGAATAAATTCTGAAAGAATAAATCCCGCTATAGCGTTTTGAGAGGAAAAAATGTTGATGAGGAATAGGAGAAAACTTTTTCCGCAAACTTTGATTTGGAAAACTTTTTGATAAAAAAAGATCATTTGGACCCAATGTCATTCTCCAGAAGCTTCATCTGAATCCCATGCTCTATTGCTAAGACCCAGCGTTTACATATACAAAATCTTTGTTACGCCACTAATTGTAAAATAAAAGAGATTTATTCTATCTTAATTGTTTTTCTTTCTTTAAGACTTCCTATTCATGAGAAACACATTTTAATTTTGTCTGGTCAAAATTCAGATTTTAATTGTGACTGAGATCATATTGGACAAAATTAGAATTTTAATTTTGCCTAGACGAAATTAAAATTTCAATTTTGACTAGGCAAATTTTAAATTTGACTGAATTTTAATTTTGACCACAACATATCCATATTTAACTTTATCATTCTTTGTTCTATCATACGATATTAGTATTTCAAATACGTAGGAAAGACTACAGAGATTTATTGAAGTCATTAAATTGATTCATTGATAAGAACTGTACCCTAAGAGAACTATAGTTCTGAGAAGTCCAGACTCAATCATAACTGATCTCCTGTCCTAAGTTTTATTGATACGCTTAATCTGATTCGTTCCCTTCAACGACACATTATGTTGAGCGTGGTACATGTTGTGCAATACTTTTTCATTTGATAACATTTTAGTCAGTATGAATTCCTATTATCCAAAAACAATAGGAAACTGTATGATGTGATTCATATCGATGATATATAATACAATACATTTTAATATGCATTATTTTGATAAGACAAAATATCCTATTTTGATGATAACAACCTGGTCTTCTTTGGATTATTCGTTTTCAAAACAAGTATTCTGTAAACAGCATCTATAACAAGATCAAGTTGCTTTTCCTAGAAATTTTAATACTTTTCCTGTGTCTTTTTTCTTGAAATCGAAAATAATGTTATGAAAATCGACTTATCTGGAAATAGTTCAATGATTGTAAAAAAAAACAAGTCTTTTTTCCTTCGGTCATAAACACTCAGATAAACGATTTATGTCATACAGATATAGATTGTTATCAAACGTTTAGAAATGATTCCGAACGCACATTTTACATACAATCTATAATTATAATTCTCAAGGCTTTTCAGTGTTGGCTTATGACTTCAAAAACAACTAAAAATATTTTTGTATAGGAAGTAGAGATCATTCATTGTGTCGCATAAAACAATCTATCAGTTCAATTTTGTTCTATCGTTTTAATTTGAAAACGAATCTCAGTCTGTATAAAAATAAATTCTATATCTTCTTACCAGTGTTCTATCTAGAATAGATGTTCATCCTTCTGGAAGAGAAAGTCTTCATGAAACACTGCATCCGATAGGAAAATTTGCATTCTGTATTTATTCTTCGCTCGATTATTTGCAAATCAAAGGATATTGCAGAAATTTTTCTATCTCGGATATGACAGAACTTATTGAGAAATTCTAGAATCTCCTTGTCAAGCAAACTACATTAATACTTTGAAAAGAACAATAGTCTAACCTAAATCTAAAGTATTAGTGTTGACAGTTTAAATAATTGAATTATTCTTCATTGAATAAAAGAAATCTACAACGAAAAATCAATTCGATTCTATAGTGATGAATCATACAAAGGATAATAATACATGACATTCTTAACACATCAACTCAGAATTCAAGTTTTTTAAATTCAAAATTTGCACTGATAAATTTTTGGAAAAATATTCTTTACAATTGAAAATTACATATATATAGAAAAAGGAGACAACAGAAATATATTCTTTATTTTTTATTTTTTAATATTCTTTATTGTACTTCTAGAACAATAACAACATTGATGATAAGAATAGATCATATCTATTATAGAAACGTAAAATATGAGATTAAACATTACTCTTTGTTGATGATGCTATAGTTGTTAAGATGATTGTGTCTGTTTTCATATTAATATTTTTATCTGATATATGAAAAAATACTAACATAATACAAATAGCCATTAATAAATGTATGAAAAGTATAACTAACATTGATAATGCATTAAAACGTTGTCGTCCATTGTTAACTGTTGGCCAAAATGTAACGACTAAAACACTTCCACTTATTAATGATGCTATTATTGTTAATAACCATTGTAACCATGTTATTGGTATCATCCATAATATTGAAACTGGAATAAATATTGTTAAACTATAACCATAAATACACAGTAATTCAAGAAATGTATATTCATTACGTTTAAGATAATAACGAAAGAAAAAATAAATAATTGTTGGCATTATCCACCAATAAAGATAGATAAACTAGAAAAAAATTGATGAATTAATTTTTAAGTTATGAAAAAAAAAAAAGATTTTTTACTTACAAGTGCTGATAAAGTAATTTTTGAAAAATCAATTTGAAAATCAGCATCAGGTAAATGAAAATATGTAACAATATTTCCACTAATAGCTACAGTTACAATAAATGTAACGCATACCCAAAATGGTCCATATAAATCAGGATTATGTCTAATTGTTGAATTCAAATAAGATTTATTTGGTTGTGGTGTTATTGAAGCAAGTAAACGTTCAAGTACTTGTTGTGTATCAATTTGAAAATATTTTTGATAATATTCGATTTGCCATATATGTAATTGTTCATTTTTTGTATTATTTGTTGTTATTGGTAATTTAAGAGATGAATGTTGTTCATTAGATGGATTATATCCATATAATTGATTATTATTTAACTTATTTTCTGATGAAAGATCATTCTCATCATCTTCATCATCAAGATCAATTGCAGAATTTGGAAATGATGTAAATAAATGTGTTTGACTAGGATTTTTACTTGAAGTTTGATCCGTTAAAAAACCATCATCGGAAAACATCATTCTGATAAATAAACTACTCTAGTACAACACAAGGATATATACATCGATGATTATTATTATCCTTATTATTCTACTTTTATTTTACATATTATTGGATAAAATATTCCAATAAGAAAATTGTATACTAGCGACGATGGCAATTCGAATAACTATAAGATTGCTAAACAATAAAATAATGTCGTAGTTGATAACAAAACATATTTTTATTTCTTTAATTATTCTTTGAAGATTTTTAGTCCTAATCTATCTTGGACAAGACTGGTTTTCAACAATTGGTAGCATCCACCTTTGCAACCTAACAGAGTACTTATCATTTGTGTCTAATGAGCTTAAGTAATTTTCTTAATTATTTTTGATTACCTGCTTTTTTTGCAGAGTTTTGGCGAATTTTTACTAATCTATTGATGCTTTAATTTCGTTGTAGTTGTGAAGTTACTCTAAAAGTACACAGAAATATGTCGAGGTCATCACGATTGGGAGACATCGAGCGTTCTTTCCAAAATTTATGAGCAAAAAACGAAATAAAAAAAAAAGCTGAAGCTTCGCTTGTGAAAAATGGAAATTTCTCAAAGTTAGGAAGACGGGAATGACTCCTTCCGGACTCAAAATATCTCCTGAAAATACATTTCAAAACAAACAATGTTTCTGTTTCTGCATAGATAAAAAGAACGGTATTTTACCTTATAAATACGTCGTGTAAATGAGCCTTATATTGTCACAATGCTCAACAGAGAAATACGGTTGTGTCATAGTAACATTATGGTGCATCTACGACTACATACGTAGCAAATACGGTCTTGTATTACTGTTGACAATAGTACCAGAAAATACAGTATGTTTACTGCTGTAAATTTATCTCTTTGTCAACGTTTAGTCGGAATGTGGCGAACAGAAAAACATGTATAGTGCAAGGATATTTTTAAGAGCTGTAAAGGTATAAAGCAAGTTTTTTAAAACTAGAAGATTGCTGAACTTTCTTTTTTTCATCTTACGATATACTTTTTGATAAAAGATACGACTTTAACATCCTCCACACCTCGAGAACGAGACATCCTTGTATTTACGGTTGCATAACAGGAAAAGACATCCGTTTTGATCGATCAGAGTGATAAAAAAGTATTCCAAACAATACGTACATACAATTATTCCATGAAATATTTGCTAAAACGTACCTGCTTTATAGAACAATTGAAATAAATGTTTCTTGCTATAAAAAAAAATCATTTTCTTTTAAAATAAACTGTATAAATGATTTTATTTAAAAAAAGAAGGCTTCAGCATATCAATGAATTGAGTCGAGTATGATTTATATCATATCATCAAAGTGAATACGAAAAAGAATTCCATAGGAAATAAAATATAAAAATAAAATTAGAGGAAAACAAATCTTGTCGAAATGAATAGCAAAATATTAAAAAAAAACAAAAATTCATTCATATATTTAAATACCAAAGAATATTCTAAAAACATTTACTTTTGATAATACAACAAATTGATTACTTATATACAGTAGTCTATGTGAAGAATTACCAATGTGTAATTTTCTATAATTTTCAATAACAATAAAGATTCGCCCAGTTTCTCAATTCATCCATTTTTTTTTACTTTATTCAAGTTTTACAACCAAAACCTGTTGGTCTTTTGTTTTCTTTGTATTGATGAAGATCATTGAATTTTATATGCTTATATACTTTATATCTTTTCATGAACTATTCAGTACGTGAAGGCATATTAACAATAAAAATAGGAACGATGCTCTTTACATACTCAATACATTCAACTAATACTAAACTCATTATTTGTAAATTTTTATACTGGATATCTATCGAACAGTTTCACTGAATCACAGTAGTAAGAAATCAGGAACTATATCTGAAAATATTACTCATTGTAAATGATTTAAATAAATTTCTAAGAGATAAAAAATCAATCATGATAAACTATTATGTAAATGGATCTATTTTCTTTTTCCTACTTGCAATTGCATCTCATCATAAAATCATATGAAGCGTGTATATTTTCTTCTTTTTCTTGTTAAATATAACGATTGAAGTAACACTTACTGTACTCAATCACATATTAAACATTAGAGAGAAATAATCAAGGAAAAGAAAAAGAAAAAGATGGTCATATCGTTTTTATTCTAACAAAACAAAAATATACATTGAATAAGTTATTAAAATTTATCAAAAAATAATTCATTGAAAAAAAAAAATATGTCAACAACATCGAATATTTCAATGGATTATTTAAAAGTACCAACTAATGAAGAAACAGATAACTCTGAACCACGTCGTACATCTTCATTTATTCAAAAACCTAATTCAATCAATAAACGTATACCTTCAAATTTAAGTCTCCCATGTGTAAATCATGGTATTCTTAAATCATCAAATTCTTCATGTCGACCTCTATCAATATCATCACATTCAAGTGTTTATTATTCACCTATGATAGATGAATATGATGATCAAACAGAACTTATTCCATCATTTGTTGTTCCAACAATAGAATTATCACCTTCAATAAACAATAGTCAATTAGAAAATACTTCTACAGATAATGATCAATTACAAAATACTGCTAAAAAGAATGATCATCATTTTTATATACAAAGACGATATGGATTAAGTACGTTATTAACACAATCATATTGGTCAAATCATCCACTTTCACTTAAAAAAAGGTATGAGAGAAAAAAAAAGAATATTTATTAGTTTTATTTTTTTTGTTTTGACTTTGTGGTTGTTTATTGCACGCAAATCGAATCAATTGATCGAATGATAAATAATGTCCATAAAATTTAGTTTTGATATTTCGCTTAACGATCGATTAATATTAATTAAATGTTTTTTATACCACCTTATATATTAAAAATTAAAAAGTATTACAATATAACTGTTTGGCTATTTATATAGCTATCTTCCAGTAGATGATCGTGAATTATGATTGATTTTAGACAATCTTGACTCGAATAATAACAAAAAAATATGACATTAATGAGAATAGATCAAAACATTAATTATTATTTTTCTGATTTTACCTTGACAAAATATGTGAAATAGTAGAACATTTTTTTATTATTAACTTGTAATTTTCGAGTACAGTCATTAGATTTTGATATCTATAAGTTGTATATATTACAGATTTCAATCAATGATCTGCTGATATAATTAACTATGATAAATAACCGTAGCTAACTTTGGTAGATTATTGATCATATTCATAAAAACTTAAGTAGATCTTGAATTGATTTTCTCAAAATACACGAGTTCATTGAGTAAAATGAATAAAACTCACCTAACTGTAGTTAATTCTAATGTCAAGTTTTTGTTTTTGTCATTCAATTTGTGTGTTGGAATTGTTTCAATATTCTTAGACATATTTAATAAAATTTTTTATTCAAAATTTAACTACTAAAGTTAGAATGCGAATTTGTCAAAAACAATTTAATTTATCTTTTAACAATTATTCCATCAGGTCTTTCTTTTACCTTTGAATTCGAAATAATCACACTAGATAATAAAGTTCTTATAGAGACATTTCACTTTTTCTTTCTTCACTACTTGCAAAAAAAGAATCTTTGACTAAATTTCAAACAAAAATAACGAAGACAAAATTATTATTCATTTTTTCACTCTAGTATATTTATATTAAGTTAAGATAACGCATACAAGTGCAAACATGATGATAACTATCTCTCATGGACAAGTTTGCAATGATTCTTCTTTCATTAACTCCAATGAAAAAGAGTTACACCTGGTAAACGTGATAATGTTGCCGTTTTTTTTCCTCGTCTCATTTTTGTCTATTAAGCATAAAAAAATAATATACATATATTAAATGCTTATGTTATCAGATAGAAAGAAAATTTTTCATGAATACACAAAAAAAACCCAATCTTTCTCATTGAACATTTTTTATTTACAAGAGAATAAACAAATATGAATATATAGTGCATAAAAAGTTACTCAAAAACAAAAATCATAATATTGTATCGTAATTTATTTGGACAATTGTACGTACAAAAAGATATGTCAGCGAAGAAAAGACACATACTTCTCATTTTCTACGTAATAGAGCTATTCATTTTAAAAAAAGATACAATAAGAGAACGACAAAAACCAATAGCTTGTATAAAAGTAATGAAATGATAAATCATATCGAAAGGAATGTGTCTAATAACTTGATGATACAAACTATACACATGATTTATTCGAAAGTAATGTTTTTACCGTAAACACGTGTATATAACTATATACATAAATGGCTAAGACTGAAAATGAAATGCAACAAAAACTTACAACCAAATTTCATAAACATAAAAGGTAGATGCTGCTATGTTTTCTTTTTATTTTTTCGAATCAGTTATTACTTATAATAGACAATGGCACAAAATTTGTATTATTTTTCTTTGCACACAATTGATAGGAGTAAAAGTTCTGGATTTATTTATTTAGTTTTTGAGATGGTACTGCAGCGCAATATCGTAGAGACTTCATCGTTTTTTGTTTTTTGTTAGAGTAAAATATCTAGTGTAAAAATACAATTTAATCGAAAATATTCTTGAAAGTACATGAAAGTCTTATGAAAGAATATATTTAAGAGAATATCTATAACTAGAGCTTTTTGAGTTGAAAATTTTCAAATTCTGACCTGGATCAATCTGATGGGTTCTACGCATGAGAGAGTCAAGGAATCGAAGCACTGGTTTATATTTTTATTTATGGTCTTTTATAGTTTTTCTAAAGTCCATTATTTAAATCATCAAACTCAAACATTTAATTCATTTTGATACTTTTTTTTTTGTAAACTTAGCCTTCATCGACTTTTCGTCTTATTTACCTATATTACCAAAAACATAATGATTACCTGTTTCATCAATATCGTCTAGAATGATACTTTCTTAAGTCAGATAATGTTTTTTTTGCAATATATTAAAAGATAGATTATCAACAGTTGAAAAAAATGAGTTATTTAAAATATTGTATATCATTTTATTTACAAAGAAAAGATAAATGGTAAAGTTGACAATGTAGCTGTCCATAATATCTGTTTGTTGGTGGTGTATCTATTGTGAATTTTAGAATACTCTACAACCATTGGTTCTTTACAAAATAGAAAAAAAAATATTCGAATGGAAAGTTTATCTTCGAGGCAATAGGAGGTTTACACTATCAATAAGGACGTAAATAGTCTCAAGAAAAACGTTGTCAGACACATTTCGTCTAGTAGAAATAAAAATTTGTTATTGGCTGGAATTATGATGATAGTTCTTTCGAAAAACAATAGTTTTGCAGGATTGGATAACAATAATTCATTTGCAGAAGTATTGAACGCTGCTCACAGCCACATGGTCCAAGTTCATTTTCATCTTTTAGCTAGTACTTTATAGAGCACTCTTTTAATGAAGAAATAAAGAACCTATGGCAAGTGTACAATACCGAGAGATCAACCCAATACTACAAAATTACTATTAATAATAAACTTCAATTATATGAGTGTGATCAGCCTCTCATACTTTAGTGAAATCGATGATTAGTATTCGATTTCGCGAAAACATTTTTTTCATTGTTCGAACAAAATATTCATATACTTCTAGCCAAAATCAAGTTCGAATTTCTACGAGATGAAAATTGTCATGAATGAAGGACACTGAAAAGTGTCTGACAACGTTTTTCTTGAGGCTATTTACATCTCTATTGATAGTGTGAACTTTATATTGCCTTAGAGGTAAAGCTTTTTTATTTGATATCTTTTTACAATTTTCTAGAGAACTAAAGGTTACATTAACATTTCAAAAATTCAGCTTGGTGTCGTTTGGTTTGAAAAAATGACGGTAGATATACTGTCAACAAACGGGTATTATATGATGCTAAATTGTTAACATTTTCACTTATCTTTCATTTGTAAATAAATGGTATACAATAGTTTAAATAGCTCATTTTTGTCAGCTGTTGATAATCTGTCTTTTAATATATTGCATAAAAACGTTCTCTGACTCATGGAAGTTATTGTTCTAGAAGATATATATGAAACAATTAATCGCTATGTTTTTGATAATAGCTAAAATGAGGATGAAAAGTCGATCAAGGTTAAGTTTAAAATAAAGTATCGAAATGAGCGAAAATTTTGGGTTTGATTGTTCTAAATGATGGCCTTTTGAATACATATAAATAATCAAAAATCAAAATATTCATCATGGCTTCGGTTGTTTTGCTCTTTGTAGGTGCTCTCTCAAATTTATTTCCTCATAAGATTGTCTCCTGTAAGGAAACATCTTCAATCGACTTCTTTAGTATAGTTTTGCAGTAGACATCTTGCTTGTTCCAATACAAAATAGAATGAAGTCTCTACGATATTTTCTGCCAATACTATATCAAAAACAAAAATTCCTGCAGAACTTTTGTTCTATCGATTTCAATAAATAATAACCTTTAAAAAAAAACAAAGACTCTTTAGTAATTAGTAATCTGAGTGTTAAAAATTCATATTAAAATCTAAATTCAGTGAATATATATCTTGTATAATGAAAGTCGAGAATAAGTATATAAATTGAATGAAAAACAAGGTAAGAAAGTACAAAATTTCATTTGATGAAATGATCACCATGTGACTCTACATTGGAGATATGTATAGGTTTTTTGAAAAATGTTGCTTTTTTTTTAACAAGTTGTAATATTTCGTCGATTTTTTTATTTTGTATATAGAAGCAATGCCGAAAATATAGATGCTTACAAAATCGTCAGTATACTCTATGGTCTGGGTAAGTAAGAATTAAATACGGGAGATTTGCAAAGAGAGATACTTGTTTTTTTCTTTTTCTTTTTCTTCTTTTTAGTTAGCTTATAAATAATATATTTTAATCAATTATGAAAGAAAAAAACGAAGTCTTTTAAAGTATCTATTCTGTTTCTTGAGGTTCGATGGGGATTCATGAAGATTTGAAAGTCTCTGCTTGAAAACACATAAATCAGAACGATAAGTTTGTAATTAACTCGAGTCTATAGGTACTAAATTTTTAGTCATTCAAGTGGAACTGAATTTGATATATTCGTCAATACTTGAAACTTTCGATATTCAGCAGTTCCAATAGTAATACAATAATTTTCATGTGTCTTCTGGAAGAAAAATAGAGCTAAACATATCTGTAATCCATTAGCAACATTTGAGAAAATTCTTAATCAATCATTCTAGAAATATGTGATATAAAGTTAAAAAATATATATGATTTAGCATTCTTTTACTCAAACAATTTAATGTCATATTCGGTTTTTGTTATGACTTTTTTTAATATTATGGAAAAATTTATTTTGAGCAAAATTTTTTACATATAATACAATTCATAGAACGATCCGAATTGATTCGCGTAATCGATTTGCGTTTAGCTACAAAGGTTTTTAATCTAAAGGTGCTGGTGCGTGTGAAAAGAAAACATTCATCTTCACTCACATTTCAGTCATCCTGATTTGAATATCGTTTTCTATATTTTTGGTTTTTGTATTTAAATCCTCTTGCATCTCGATTAGTTAGTATCCATTCGATGTTTGGTTTCATATAACAATGACAATAAGACAGCGCGGTCAAGTTGAATAAAAAACAAGCATATGACATGCATAGTAATAATAACGTCTCGTGAGCTCTACAGATTTCAGTTCACTCAAGTCAAGAAATACGCATTCGTTTCCAATCAAAAAATTGGAAGAAATGGTGCGAAATTGGCAGCATGAATCAGATGGTCGGTTTTGCCCGCTTGTACCGTAACTAGAAAAACGCGATCATCAGACTTCCCCTTTCAAGTTTAAGCTTTTTCAAAAGTCTAACTTGCTTTTTTTTTCTTGTTAATGAAATATGTCAAAGTTCAGTGATACAATCAGAGTTTTGGCTTTCAGAATTCAGATAGGAAACTCAAAAATGCCACCTTACATTTTATTTGTAGAGAGTACTATTAAGTATCAGTGGTAAAAATTTCAGCCAGATTCAACAAAGTTAGATGAGGATTATAAGCAACGAGAATTTCTCAGGAGAAAATCATAAAAATCCACTTCAAAGTTTGTTTTTTCTTCAAACCATGTCTTCTTATTTGCAGTATAAAAATTTTAGCTTGATAAGTTATACCATCTGGGAAAGCTAGACACAACAAAAAAAAAAGAGGGGAAGAGCACCTCTAAAATTAATCTCTATTTAAAAAATCATTTATCAAGTTTTAACTGATTGATTTGATATTTGTTTGTTTGTTTTTTTTAATAGTAATTTTTATTGGTGGTGTGGCTTTTTCGATATCACATGCTATTATACCAACAGAACAAGTTGGAAAGATTCGACATTTAGCTGAGGTAAAATTTGAAAAAAAAATTTTTTTTTTTACTAAAAACAATAAATTTTTCATAGGTTTATTTTACATACCTTTATTGGATATCAATAGGTTGGATAACCTTTTGTATAATCGATATAGTTCGTCATCGACATAAATTTGATATAAACTCAAAAGCAATTAATAGATTAGATTCAAATCACAAACCACACCATAATCCTAATTTACGTTTATTAGATAATAAACGTCGAGCAGTACCATTCAATGAACAAATATCTCAATTACCACCACCACCATCATTTAATTTACAATTATTTGATGATTCTGATGAATTTCAGTCTGAAAATAATGATGATGAAAATAATCATGAACAAAATGAAACAAGTTCATTTAAGCCAGTTCAAGATGATGACGATGACGATGATGATAAAAGTTTTCGTCCTACAAATCGAAAATCACAATCATTAGAAGATCTATCATCAAAATCATCGGATGTTCTAAGAAAACGTTATGATAGAACGCGAAGTGCTTTATCTAGACGCCTTGCATTAGATCCTGGTGGTGTACATAATTTAAGAACTTATGTACGTCATCGAAAAGATAGTATTGTACAACGTGTTATGGGTTATAATTATGATGATCATTCGACAGCCGGTGGTCTTTATATTCGTGTTGGAATTGGAAGTAAGACAAAAAAGAAATGAAACAAACAATCGAATGAATTCTATTCATAGAAATTATTTCTGTTTGATTTTTAGTTTTTTGTCTTGGAACTGTTATACATTCGGGTTTATCAATATTAAGTAATCTTGAAAATCGTTCTTGCTCAAGATGGACAGCTCTTATGGATGATTGTTCAAGATTACTATTTAGTTTTATTCAATTCTTCTTTATTTTTAAACATTCAAATGTATGTCTAATTAAATTAAATGACAAAAGAAAAAATATTCATCGATTGTTTTATTTAGTTAATTATTCGAGCACATGAAGGTCTAGCTCGATTAGCTGTTATGCATATTGTTGTTACTAATTTATGTGTGTGGTATGTAATTTATAAAAATCTTACATATACAGTATTCTAAAAGTCATCTATTATAAAAAAAATTTGAATAGATTCATTATATTTTAAATAAATTAGCTAATTGTTTGTTTTTCCTAGTAATAAAGAAAAGCTCGAAGTTTTCATTTTTATAAGAGAAATTCATAAGAAACCATTCATTTTGATTGATATTATGAAACTTTACATAATTTACTCAAAATCGATGAGAAGATGTAAGATTTTGAAAACTTCATATCTTGATGAGATCATATTCAAATATCTTAAAATTTTCTACATCTTTTAATTTAACATAAATGAGAACTTTCTGTACGTTAACTACTTTTATTATACTCTGAGTAGAAATTCAATAACAATATTCAGACGTAAATCATAGTTTTGATTAGAATTCTCGATTATGCGCTTCTTCCGGCCTCTCAAAATTTCTACCTTTCAGCCAATTTTATACAGCTTCCTGGTAACTTTGGAGATAAGCCGAATTTTGAAACACCAATTTGTTTTCTCTGGTAGAAACTGAAATGAAAATAATCAAATTATGTTGTTGCGAAGTGAATAGAATTGGAGAGCGTATCGAGGATGGTGGATCTTGTGGCACATAGTCTATTGTGGGGATGACTGAGTCACAGTGAATTTCCTTCTTTTTCCTTACCTCTTTAGTAATCACTTCAAGCACTACGAAAATGAAACCACTTTCTACCGAATTTTCAGTCTCTACCATCTATAAAAAATTGCAGCAATACGGGTTCTGATAAAAAATTTCAATAGACTTTAAGCCTTATGCCATAGTTTGATGTTTTGTTAAATGCTATAATGCAACGAAATGAAAATCTAGCAAGATTTACTTTTACATAAGGTTTCGGATGGTTGTAGTTGAAACAAAATCTCAAATACTAGAAATAAGTACTCATGAAATGGCGATCGCAGACGTTGTCGGTGGTGGTAGTCATTCAATGAATGGTAAATAAATCTGATCTTTTCTACAATAAAATATATTTTTAATTAAAAAAAAACAAATGAAAAGGTAGTCATCATTCAATCAGTGATAATTATCGTTCATCAACAATTCCATATAATTGTGTACAATCAATAGAAGAAGCTCGACAAGTGAATGCTTTTATTAGTGAAGGTTATATGAGACTTAAACCTCTTTTATATCCATGTACAATTGAATTTAGTCTTATGTCATTAACTGTAAAATATTTTAAGATAATTTTTTTAAATTTTTGCAAAGAAATGATCTTTGTATATTTTAGCTTTTCTATCTCATATGGGAAAATATAGGAAAAACATTTGCCTATAAAATGTCTGATAAAGCATCAACAAAAAATGTTTTTATGGTTAATTGTCACGCATCAATTAAAGGTTTATTTGCTGGTATGATTGTTTTTTCGTGTACAGTCATATCAATTATTCTTTATGCTGTTTTTCGAAATAAAATTGGTGATGATGTACATGGTGTATCATCATTAACAACTCATGGAGAAAATTTTCTTCATAATAGAATTCATTCTCGTGAAGTAATAATAAGAAATATAACAACAACTACATTACCTAGTCAACATCATTTAATTATTCCTCCACCACCACCACCACCTCATGGTCCATATACATCAATAGCAAAAACACCGAAAAAAATTTTATATAGTATTGCTATTGTTGAAATTGTTAATTTAAGTCTATTAATTACTTCATTAACTGCAACATTATGGGCATTAATAAAAATTCGGAAATTACAATATCAAAGAACAACTACACGTATGAAATAAAAACAACATTGATTTTTTAAATTTAAATATAGATTAAATTGTTGTTTTGTTTTTGTTCTTAGGTTTTGATGATGTGTTAATTGTTGTCTCATTAACCGGCACTTATTTATATACAATTTTCAGTGCTTTTGCATTACTGAGTAACAAAAATCAATCAACATGGATTGTTTATCTTAAAATAGCCATCGTTATTTTAGGTATATTATAATTGAAATTATTTACAATTTTTCTATTTTTCGGTTTAGAATTTATTGAAGCAACTGTTCATGCATTGTTCATTCTGATTGCATTACGTAAACGTCTTAGTCGATTAAGTAAACATCAATATCCAGCACGTGAAATTATAACATTACTTATAATGCTTGATCTTAGTTTATGGTTTGAAGAAACAACAACAACAACAAAACATGAAGCTAATCCATTTCAATTAGCATTTTATCACACTATTCCATGGTCAATTATAGCTGCTATTGCTACACCACTTCAAATTTTTTTTCGTTTTCATGCATCTGTGTGTTTGTCACATGTTTGGGAAAATATGTATATTTTACCAGCCTTCGAACCAGTTGCTCCACATGGTTTATAAAGAGAACGAAATGTGACTTTTTTCTCTTGTCTTCGCTATTTTTTTTTTCTTTTTCGCTTATTTCCTTATACATATAAACATAGGTGAATGACAACGAAAAGCTTTTGTTTTTTCTCTCTTTTATTGCGTCATAGTCCATGCTTAAATGCAAGTTGAGAAATTTCTTTTTTTTTCTTTCTTAAAACAGTCATCATCCTTTTCCTTTCGTAGTGGAAAAAAAAGATTGAAAGAAAAAGAGAACAACCAGCGACGTGTAATACACGAAATTGATTCATTCAGTCCATAATGACTTTTGCTAAAGCGATGAATCTATTACGCGTGTTTCCTACAGCACGTTGTCAAAACAATGATGATCATTGTGAAGTTTGCTTCCATGAAATGCCTACTGATATTACATTAATTAGTTGTGAACATCGACAAAATTTTTGTGAGAAATGCATACGATCATTGATTGTATTGAGAAAATATACTTGTCCTAAGTGTCGCACAATTTGGCCAGTATTAGATTATGTAAGTTAAAAAATAAAAAGTTAATATTATAAAACAGCACGATCATTTATTTTAATATATGCATAGTTGGAAAAAACAAATCAAAGTATAGTAAATATTGCTAATATATCACTTAAACTAAAATATCCAGCATCATTTACTGGGAACATTTCTCCTCTAGCATCATTAACAGCTGGTGATTTAATACATGGTACTGTAATGTGTTGTTCAATTGGATTTCTTGTTTGTTTAATAATATATCCAACTATCAAGTAATTTGAAAAAACATCTATTGCTTATAATGTATAATTACATGTGAATATTTATATTTTTATATTTGTACCTGTAGAAAAAAAAAGAAGTTAAATTCTTATCAATTCATACATTTTGTTATCTTATCTTTTTTTCCCATTTGTCATATGAAACAATCAAATTAAATATAGTGCTGCTCTTTAAGGTTGTAAATAAAAAAAACATAGCGATAATATTGTTTATTCAAAGGATATCATTGAAAATATTTTTTTTTTTAAATTATGTGATATAACTTAAATAAGTTACATGTGCATTTCGAACTTAATTAAATTGTTCATAATGAAATATTGAATATGCAATAGTTTGCAGTAGTCTGACAAGTATATTTACAAGGTTGGTTTTTTTTTTGTTTATTGGCAAAAATTCAATAACTTATTGATTCAAATAGATTGATATAAGGATAAGATCGAAAGAATAGATAAACAAGGTACATTTTTTTTTCTTCCTTGTATATGATATGACATAGTATAAATGCAGAAAAATATTGTTTTGGTAAATATTTTATATTATACAGCTTTGAACTATAACAAGGTGTCTAGAAAATTGAAAAAGAAAATTGAGTATGTCTGCTTCATTAAACACAGAGAGTGCATTTACATTAGTGTTATCAACACACCAAAAACTTCATTTTTTCTAGCATTAAAAAGTTTCTTTTTTTTTTTTTTTTACAAAACATTTGTATCTGTGTAAATATGTAATTGCATGTCATTTTCCTAATCAATTAGTTGAATTTAAATTGAATATAGTCTGTTCTTTTAATAAAGGTCCATTTGTTGATTCAAGAAAAAAAAACTTTTAAGTACTTTCTCTAATATTTAAAACACTTCTCTTCTGAAACGACCTCATTTAATGCAAATAAGTACATAAAAAGCGTCAAACCTTTCCGAAGAAATATAAATAGAACGAGTCAGATGAAAAAAATTAACTAGACAACAGAGAACATTTGTATTCGGAAAAAGTACATTCATTTAGGACTCACTTCTTCTTCAATGTAAGCTTTTAAAGTTTCTACATTGTAGTAAACTGAAATTTTGTGTATCTATTTAGACTGCTGAGTCATATACAGACTTCAACTTCTTTCGAATTCTTCACTAGATAGAGTCAATTGTCTTTTTTGTTTATATTTGAAAGGTGACGTTTGGTACTTGGTAGCTGTCGTGATTCTTTGTATTTTCTTATCGGTAGATTTTTTGAGACATGCATAGTTTGATTAAATTGAGAAATTCTATGAAAGAAAAACGGTTGAATTTTCGTAATGAAAACGATTGTCTTCTATGATGGAAAGCTATTTAGAAAAGAAAAGGCTGTGAGACCTACTGGTTCTAAGGATCAGCTTTACAATGAAAAAAAAAGAACAGTTATTCTACCTTTTGAAGTGTTCGAATGATATTGGAGATGTAAAAGGTTTTTCAATGTTTCCAACACGTACTATAAAATAATTATTACTCCGATAGATTATAAGAAATCGAACTGAAATTTTCTTGAATATATGATGCTAAGAAACCTTAGTATGTTCATATAGTCTTAGCTCCGTATAATATAATCGATCGACGGTCCAATTTTGAGAAGACAACAGACTGATATCGATTAGACTTTCGATTTTGAGAGGAATGAAGGCTGCCTTAATGAACACTCTTTAATTATATTTATTCTCTGTGTATTCAAGACCCAAACTATTTATATCTTTTATTTATTTTATAGGATCTTTTCTGCATTAAATTTAAGTTTAAGATTCGAAATGGCTCAAAATGATCACACTGCTTCTATTTTCTTATTATTAATCGATTGCAAAGTTAGTTCCATGTTGTGTTCGAAATTCTCGAAAAATTTGTATGTATATACAAATTGTAAAAATAGATTTTGTAATAAAATATAATTGTCTTTAAATGAATACATTCATAATCAGTCATGAGTAATATCGATGTGTAATTTACGTTTCCAATAAGTCAGATATTAAAAATGAACAGATCGAAAAACAATACAAAAGAATAGTGAGTCTAATCATGTTTAGTAAAACTCTTTAGTATTAATACAAATGATCATTTATATAATCTTCTTTTCGATTGAATATTCCTCTATTTTCAAATTAAACCGTTCCAGTATTTCTCTACATTGGAGAAGCTCTGCAAATTATCGCATACTAAAAGCATGAATCAATTAAAACTATCATATGAATGAGTTGATAATATGAAGCTAATTGTTAACCGAAGATTGGTCTCACAAATCAATACTATCATATTATATTTATTCTCCAAACGGTAACTATATAAAGATGAATGAACTAGGAGAAAACCCTAAAGTATTTGGAAAAAAAATCTAATGAGTTGGAAAAAAGTTGCACAATATCAAGAAAAGAGGAGAAAAGAAAAAAAGAGAATACATATATATATCGCATGTATTATCTATATAGGACAATAGAACAGAAGAAAGAAAAAAAGAAAAGAAAAATATCAGGTATAATCGAGTCACATTATAACACTAATACAAACAACCATATAGATTTTTTTCAAGTAATATAGTAATTAAAATGTTTCAAAATTTTAAAGGAATCTGACGAAGCTAGATCTCCAACTGATCGATTCCAATTGAACTGATTTTTCGTCAATCCGTAAGCCTTCTTCCCACAGTTATGACGATTATATTGAGTTTTCAGCATTTGTCCAAGATATTGATGTAGATATCAAATTTCGATAGGAAATTTTCTGCATATGTACTTCTAATGATCCTAATAGGATGCTGAAATTTTCGATCAAAATGAATACTTTCTGTTCGAGATATTGAATTGATATATACCAGTCATATTTCATAAGAACGTTTTGAAAACTGAGTTTTCAGAGTAAAGACGAGGACAGATAATGTTACTTTTTATCTTCCAACAAGATGCATTTTTTTTTTGATCGGTTTGCATTAGGACATGATGCCTGATGATATTTCACGTGTATGACATTTCGAAACGCTCAGTTTTAGTTGAGTATGAAGAAAAGCAAATTTTGGATTGAAAACCCAAATTTTTATACACGCGAATATGTTGTTAATAAACATTTATACTCCATATTCATGTAAACTACGTTGTTCTAAATATTATAAACTTTTTTCATAACGTTAGAACAATCAATAAAAAAGATACATCAGCAAAAAACCTCGATATAAAGCCCAGGGAGTATCTGAAAAAGGATTGTTTTTCTTGTTTAATAAAACTCATTGAATACTTAATGTACGGATATTCATAACCAATTCACTTGACTCTATCCACGAACATACGTTTCAACATAATCAAAAATAAAAAGTTTATGAGCAAATCTTTGTAGAGGATCATAGATCCCAAAAATTTTTCGGTCAGCTCTACAAAACTGAACATGTGGAATATCATCAGGCATCTTGTCCTACTGGAAATCGATAGAAAAAAGTTAATTTTTTTAGGGGGCAGAAAAATATCTTTATTCACTTTCGCCTTTTTATATTTCAAGAAGAAAGCATTCATTTTATCACAGACTATCAGGATCTTGTAGAGGTTATTAATACCCATATGGACAATATTTCAGATCGAAAATGTGATGTCTTCATCGATGTCTTGCTTAAATACTGATAGCTCAATAAAATAGTCATAAATTTATCTAGAAGGCTTGCACATCATTGTCCTTTCAAACTTTTACCACTCTCATTGATGAGGAAACTATTTCAATGGAAAACAACCGTTTGAGCTCTTATTTTGCTCACATGTAGGAATCCCAAAGCAGACAAAAATTCTAAAAGAGTTCCTGCCATTAGTTTTGCCTGCTTGAGTTACAGTTATTTTATTGAAATTTCGTCTGCAATTTCATTCATCAATAGATCACATGATAATCATGATATCGTGGAATTTTCAACTCAAACGGGTAATTTCTTCTTAAGAGATCGGATGCCTAAAAAATAAACTATTTTTCAAGCTTTTGTGAGAACGTAAAACTGTTAGCAAATATGTTATCTCGGTACAGAAACGTCCATTGAAGCTGAAACTTCCAGAATTTCATGAAAGTCATGGCATCTATTGTTGGATAAAACTTCAAACGAAAATTCTTTGTTTCAATAATTTTAGTAATATTTTGAAAATTCAGTAAAATGAGTATAACTTCAGAAGAAACATCTAATAGTACAGATCTTTTTACGAATTTTCATTTACACTATGAATTCTATTTATGAGCAAAATATGAAGTCAAACGAAAGTTATTAGTTAGAAGAGATTTTCTCAAGAGGCTATCTGCTGGACGAAGAATTAGTTATATCGGCATCAATGAATTAGAATCATTTTCTGCTCAGTTTGCAACACAAAAATTAACGCAACAATAATAATTCGTCGAACAAAATTATACATGCTTATATAAAATTTAAAGATCCGATATTATACTTTTGGGGAAGCAAGTGGTGCTATTAACATAAACCATGGTGGAAAATAATCCGATCTTAAACATCCAGTGATATATCGAATATCATGTATAACTTCTCCACCAGCAAGATAAGCACTCCAAAAGCCATATGTACCACCCGTAACAATTGAATGATGACATAATGATAATGCCATCATATCATCAGCAGGTGAAAAATGTCTAGGAAGTATAAAAATTCTTCGAGTTTGTTGTTCTGTATAAAATAATTTTTCACAATATTCTTTATCATCACTTGCAACAAGAAAACGAACTTGTGATCGATGATATCGTCTACGAAAGATAAGTATTGCACGACGAAGATAATTATCATCAGATGAAAAGCGAAGTCCACGAAAATCACGTAGACGTATATGAATACTTATCCATGTTATATTATAACGTGTTTGAAATGCTTGACGAAGTTCTTGATGAGTTGTATTTGGTAAAGGTAAACATGTTGAACAAATATTATACGTTATTTTAGTTAAATATTCAGCTAACCGACTTAATGTTTCGTTTCGAGACCTAAAAACTTCACGAATTTCTTCTCGATAAGCATCAAAATATAGATAAGATTGCCAATAACCAATAATTTCAAGTGTCTTAAATGCATTGGGTATTAATAATTCAGGTATAAATGTACAACCACTATATCGAGTGGTAATATCTTTTAATGTATTAACTTCTTCATCTGATAACCACATATTTTGATCAATTTGTTTCATTTGAAAATTCATTGAAAGTTCATCAAGAATACGTTTTGATACATGCAAACGACAATTATGAGCACGAGCTAAACCATATGCACTAGCAAATATAAACATACGATTGCCAAGACGACCAGCAATATTACGTACAATAACAGCACAACGAATTCGTTCACATGGATTGTCCGAGATATGAATATTTGCTGACTTAGTCATATTATCACATAAAACTTCATCAAAGTTTGTTGTCGTTTTTGAAGTAGTTGAAGTTATTTGAATACTGGTCGATTTTGAAGTAGTTGAAGTTATTTGAATACTGGTCGATTTTGATGTAGTTGTTGAAGTTGTCGTTGGTACAGTTGTTGAGGTTGCTGTTGATGTAGTTGTTGAAGTTGTTATTGCCGATGGTCGTTTTATCAATTTAAACAGATGTTTAGTCAGATTTATTTCTAATCGATACTTCCGTCGAGTTGATGAATCAAAGAATTGCGTAGAAAGAATAATTACAAAAACAATAATTCCAATAAAAAATGCTTTTTTTTTATATGATGGTTGTATACTTGTTTCATTCAATGCATTAGAATTATCCATCTTAAAAATAAAATGTAACTGGAGATTATAGTTTGAAGTAAAAAGAATGATTATTCATTACAGAATATTCGAGATTTATAGGACTCCTGCACACATTAGTACAATAATATGTATTTCATTATGAGAAACTATTGTGATTGAACTGTTAATTACCTATTCATATGATCATTGGTGTCTATTATCACTTGCTGTTGTCGATTCTCTTTGTTTATTCTTCTATCAATAGTAGTATGAGAAAAATGAGAAAAAATTTTAATTTGTATTGTATTACTAGCTATGGAAGAATAACCGACGAGAATCGAAGATGACAAAAGATATTAGACAACCATACTCATCTAAACAGGTAATCAACAGTTCAATACCATCAGTTTCTCATAGTGAAATAACTAGGATCGATGAATACATGCGGGCGTTCTATAATTTGTAGATATCCTATAAATAGCATATTCTGTTTCGTATTGACAGATTGAGATAGTTTTAACGTTTATGTTGAACTAGAAATGATACGATTAGTGGAAACATGCGCTAAGTAAACGACTTAAAATAAATAGAATAATATGAATACAATAATTATAACTGAACGAAAAATCGATTTTCCATTTATTTAACCTATATTTCGAATGATTATATATAGTCTGTAGATCATGATGAAGATCAAAATAAATCTATGGGGTTATTGAAATACCTCGAAAAGTCTTGTCAGTCGATTTCGAAAGATTGGTTATTTACGGTTTACTATTGATAGTACTAGTTTTCAAAGTAGTAGTTATCAATTAGTCACCCAAGCCTAAGAAAACAGCACCGTTTACTCAGGCAGACAAACTTTTGAGAAAACGCGTTTACACGCATACAAAAAAGAGAAAAAAGTTGTTGAGTTTTTCCAGTTCAAGAAGCGTGACTGTAACCATGATCGTGCATCCCGAGTATGAAAAAACGACCACTTTTTCTCTTTTTTTGTCTACGTGTAAACGCGTTTTTTGTCTGGAAACGCGTTTAAACGCACAAAAAGGGCGATAAATGGCCGTTTTTGGCTCACAGTCGGGAACCTCAAGTGTGAGCCAAAAATGTCCATTTTTTGCTGATTTTAGGCCAATTTCTGTGCGTTTAAACGCGTTTTCTCAAAAGTTTGTCTGCTTGGGTACTGGCAGCTCTTAATACGATGACAAAGTAGAAGCAACGATGATCATTTCATAGCGAAGATATGACGTGTAAAAGAGTTGACAAATTACGGCGAAATACAGTAAACATTATTGCAGTAATATACCGTTGAAGGTTTTTAAGACACCGCTTCCAATGATCGGTAACATCGTCGTAAATATAGGTTATGGAACAAATGCAATTTGTCTCGAAGAAAAATGATGAAAATGATCTCACTTTTTTCCAAGTATAAATTATGATGAATAGATTTCGGAAAAAACTCATTAACAAAGAAAGGTGTAAATTGGAGAAAAAGATCTCGACTTTTATCATATATATGCACATATAGTTATATAGAGAGCAGTGCATATGATGAATAGAAAGAATGAGCAGAATAGTAAAAATGATTCATCTGACATCACAGTGTATGCTATATTTACGAGCGAATGGTGGAGAAGCATCATTAACGAAGCCTCGTTTAATTCTATGTAATTCACTATATACCTATGTGCTTTTTGGAATGTTCAAAAATCAATTTTATTTTGGAACGATGGGACGAACATGGAAGATGATTGAAGAAAGCATTCAAACTGAAAACGATCAATGTATTTGGCAATATGTGACGATGTTTGCATGTAGTGCCGAGAAAACTTCAAAAATTACAAATTATGTTTCTTTATCACTATGCACTCTATTTATTAGTATACACATAAACTAGGATACCATACTTCCCTTCTCTGCTTAACGCATGCAACCGAGATCTGTTACTCTAATTTACACCTTTCTCTGTTAATGAGTTTTTTCGAGATCTATTCATCATATTTTGTACTCGAAAACAAGCGAGACCATTTTCATCATTTTTTCTATTAATTAAGCACTCCGAAATCAATTCAGCGTCATCCATAGGATATTGGGGTAATTGAAATTCATACTTAAATGATAGTTCTTTTTTCGTATATGCGGTATCATTCTTCATGAAGCAATCAATTGATAATTAATCGCTCAATAAAAAAGAAACACACTAATATGACTTGAAAAGTATAGCAATAGTTGAAGAAACTCGTTATGAACGTTGTTTGATGCAACTGATATTGTCTATTTTATATAATTGTTAATGAGTGCATTGATCGGAGTGTTGGCATCTGTTTTTATATTAATGTTTTCTTTGATATGATGACATCTGAAGATTGATAGTTTTTCAGTATGAAGTTTATTGATATTCATTCTGAGACAATAAAAATATCACCACCCAGTTCGTCTATCGTAACAAGCTGGAGCCCTAAGCTTGTCCCATGATTCTACGGCAATTATATTTAATCATACAAAGAATATAAATCATGCTGTTCGAATCTTGAATGAAAAGGTTCATAATTAACTCCTTAATTTTTGTATAAAACTTTCAGCTTAAACTAATATCGTGATTATACATATTTTTATGACTTTTAACAAAGAAAAATCGATCATGTTAAAAACCATGAGATTTCGTAGTGTCTTTATCGTTGTTTTTTTGATAAAGTAACTTTCTAATCCATTTAAAGAATCTGTAACAAGAATAGAGAATCGATATATTTCACTTGATTCTGAAATAGATATTTCTTTCTGTTTATAAAACCATTATTAAAGTATGTATATGAAATTGTTGTTATTTAGTACTATTATTTTTTCACTTAAAAAATGAGACAACAAATCAAACTTGATAGATAATTATAACGAGTACTGCAAAATAAATCGCCACCTTTTTATTTCATATTTTTATCTCAAAATATGTTTTATTAAAAAACAGAATATATTGTAAGATGCAACGTCAAAAGCTCACCAACACACATAGTAAAGCTTATTTTAAGTTGAAATTTTTATTTTCAAAAAAAGAAAAATTCTGTTTGACTGAGTTTTTGATGACACGAAAAGAGAGAGTTGGCAATTCCCCGTTAATTTATTTTACATTGAAACTCATTGAACTCCCATTTAAATCAATACAAATTCAACTTAAACTATAAATAAAATTTAATTTAAACCCATTTAATTGGATGTTAATCTCATATGAATTCAAGTAAACAGATTTATATCCAACTAAGTAAGTTTAAATTAAATTTTATTTGGTTTAAATTGAATTTATGTGGATTTAAACTGAATCTAAATAAATTTAAATTGGTGTAAATCCAGGTTGAAATCATTTTTGGATTTATTAAATTTTCGTAAATGTACATTGATCTCCACTATGAAAAGATAACTTTTTTCTACACTAACAAGGAGTTTCTTCTGCTTATTATTTTATGTTTTTCTTGTTTGATAGGCTTTCTAAAAAAACAAAACATATCACAAAATGCAGCGTAATAAGGTATATAATCTATATAGTAAAGTTTATTTTAACTGTTTACTTTTTCTTTTCAACAAATGTGCCACCACCTTTGGCAACGTCGAAAATTGATTGCACAGACGTTTTCTTTTTTTTTGAAAACAAAAAGTACTCAACTAAAATCAGCTTACTATGTAGATTATAGAGCTTTTCACATTGCGTCTTGTGGTGTATTTTATTTTTCCCAGAAAACATATTTAGAGATTAAAATATGAAATGCAAAGACCGACCATTTATTATGAATCAGTCATTATATACGAACATGTTCCGATCATTACCAGATAGATTTTTACCTACGCCAATACCACGACGTACACCAACATTGATACCGCAGAACAATCTTCTATTAAATCTCGTTTTTCCTTCAATACTAATAATTGAAAGAGGTTTCGAGAAAACTACAACAGTTTAGTGCATTTGAAAGGATTTTATGGGATTAAAAAGATATATAAATGATTGAAGCTTCACTGTTTCTTGATGTTTCAGGTAAAAATCCTGAATCTTCGGCATATTTTTGATTAACTGTTTAGATCAAGATTGCAATTTTCTAATAAATTCAATAATTAAGAGAACGTCTTCTATTATGTCTACCAAATTACTCCTTCGCAGGACATCTTCTATGATGGCCAAGCCTGTTTATACAAAGAGTCTATTATTATAGAAGGAGAAATTTAATTGGAAATCATTTGAAAGAAAATGAACAAGGTGAATTAAAAATACCAGATTTAATTACCTTTTGATAGATTGTTACAAAAGTTCTTTTTCGATTCAGTTGGATTTGATTAAGAATTTTTTTAAAACTATCAGCTTTGACTTCGTTTAAATTTTGAAAAATCCGGACTGAGCCTATCTCTGATCTATAGGACTCAGAGATATATTATCGAAATGAAAAAATATTTTTTTTCTCTTGTGATTTCAACTTATTCAAAAGTTGATGAATCAAAGTTATCTTTTTTTCTAAAATTCTTTTCTTCTATCTAAGTAGAATTATTAGACCCATGAACAAGTAAATGAATATACAACGAAAATAGCTGAACAATAGTTGTAAGAAAAGAAACTGTTCATCATATAGATTAAGAAACAGAATTTACTAACCATGATTTACTTCCATAAGTATTTCGTCATCGTCAAAATCATACTTTTTCTTTTTTACACAAACGAAGACGTTACTTTCAATGTGAATTAAAAAAAGAACAATTCCTACCAAACAGAAATACATAATATAGAAGAACGAAGAATGTAACAAAGCAATGTAAGAGCCACGTCGTAAATAAAGGCTATTAAAAACTTTTTTTCTTATGTAAACAATAGTTTCATAGACCGATTGTGAAATAAAATAATGCAAAAAAAGAGAAAAAAAAGTTTATAAATGTCATCGATTCAGAATGTCATTCGACTTTGTTTTTACTTCTTGGGAAGTAGTTGAATAAAATTTATCAAAGTATAAAAGAAAAAGTATATTCCAATATTTATTTAAAAAAGTCTCCAACACTGGTATTTTGAATTG